GGGTGATGACGAGCATGGAGTAGGAGGCGACGCGGCTGAAGATTGCGGGTCCGACGATGTGCCAGAGCTTTCTGGACTCTGCCCAGACCCTGGTGGAAAGGGGTTCATCGTCATGGTATTGTTCCTGGATTTGGGACTTGGGTTGCAAGAGAGGCACGTTGGCTTCTTCCTGGTCTGTAAGGTTTGACGACATGATCTTTGATTTTTGATTTGGTGAAGTCGAAGGAAGAAGAGAAGGCGCTGATTCGTTGGGCAATGAGAGATAAATGGGTGAAGTTGAATGAAACCAAATAAATAGCGGAGAGAGGAGAGAGGCGGTGTGTGGTGTGCAAGTTTCTGACGGCTGAGGCTGCGTCTATCTCCCGGGTCCACCAAAAATATTAGCGGTAACCAATTCCACTTTTTCCATTACCCCATAAATTATACCAAATGGGATCAAATAAATATATATTAATACAAATATCAATACATTTTTTATTTTTTAAAACAATATCACAACACTGGTTTTTGATGGGTCTCATGTGTTCTTTTTTTAATAAAATTTGAACCTAGTGCTATATATTTGAATACATGTTCTTTTTTACCATTTTTATAATTTTCATATTTTGTGTCTATTTAATTTTTATAGTTTTAAAAAGTCAATTTCTAATTATTTTACTTTTCTTTTTGTTTTGAAAGTATATTTTGAAATTAGAAGGAGTAGAATAGATATTTCAAGAGTGTTTTCTTTCCAAAATCTACATTCTCTCTTCTTGCATCATTTAATAGCTTTTGTTTTGTTCCCGTCCGATTCCCTGCTTCACCATAGATCTCGGCTAACTACGGAGTTTGGAGTTGGAAGACATTTGTCCATCCATAAATGACACCCAACTATTTGTTTCTTCTCCTTGTTTCTTTTCAATAATGATATCATTCCAAAATCTCACTAGAAAGAATAGATTTAATAATAATAAAATGAACAGATTTGTTTCCTTGTTTTTTCCTTTGAAAATCGTGACAGCATTGGTATCTAATGTTCTTATTGTTTTTCTTTAAAATATATATATATATATATATATTTTTTAATTTCATTTTCTCATCTTTTTACTTACATCAACTAAAATTGGTGCGAGAGTTTTAAGCAACTCTGTATTCGGAACACAAGTTTTTTTTTATTCTATTTATTTATATTTTTGTTAATATTCTTATGTTTCTTTTCTTAAATGTATACATTGTTTTCTCGTCTAAGTTATTAAAATATTTATTTTTAAATATTAGATTCATAACAAGTTTAGATCCATGGTAATTAACATCTATTTCTAACCAAAAGATCATAAGTTCAAATTATTGTATTCCTATTTTTTAAAATATATTTTGTCTTGTATTTTGAAAAACTCATTAAAAAAAAATTGCAAAAAATCATATTTCCATCCAAATCATAAACAAATTTATTGTCTTTGAGTTCTCGTAAAATATTTTGTTTGCTGTTAATTCTGATGGCGACTATTTAGTTTTATCTCTCATAACCAATTTAGATGGGTTACTTTTACTGTATTTGTATTTTTAGGTAGTTGGTCCTTAAATTTGAAGATAACTCTGAATTTAAAAAAGTGACAGTTTGATCCTTCACTAGAAAATAACCTTAAATTATCAAGATTATTTTATATTATTTTTATCTTTTTAAGTGTAATATTTTCTTTTTTTTTTCTTCCCCTCTCCCTCTTGCCTTCTCTTCCTCTCTCTTCCTCCCCTTCTTCTTCTCCAGTTCTGCTGTTCCATCTGATTTTCTCCCGTAGTCCCATCAAGCAACCAAAACAGTTTATGAAATCAAGCTGGCTTAATTCTCCTTCATTTATGAAACAATATTTTTTTAGATAAGAGGAAGAGAAGGAAGAGAAGGTTTAAAATTTCCGTAAAAATTTTAGGTCAAATTTTTTATATTTCATGTTTGTGTGATTCCTAAACATTATTGTGTGTTTAAATTTTTTTTACTTAAATTGCCTAAACATCACCAAACAATTTGCCCACCAGATTCATGCATAGAGACAATTTTCCACTTGCGAAAGCGAGAGAAGAGGAGAATGTGTAAAAAAGGGAAATGGAGGTTCAATCTTTGCGTTCTATTGCGCATCGCCTTCATTGACGAAAGTGATCGCCGCCGTCCATCAATATTCCTCTTCGCAGATACTTCAAATTCCCCAATTGGAACGAGCAATCAGAGCACGGGGCCTCCAGCCCAATTTCGGTAGATAGAGAATTGAAATCCTTCTCTTCTCTTATCTTCCTCTATCTTCTAATGGTTTCATAAATCAAACAGATTCAGAAAAATGGGGCAAGAAGAAGGGGAAGAAAGAGGGAGGGAATGGAAGAGAGCCAGCAAGAGAAAAATAAAAAACAAAATACGCATAATATAAAACTATTCCATATTGCCATGTCATTATTCCCTTAGTCAACTAACCGTCATATAAACTTAGGGACCATTTATAACTATTTTTCAAAGGTTGAGTATCAAACTGTCAGTTTTTTTAAAATTCAGAAATCAAATAGACATTTATCCTCAAACTCAATAATTTAAAAGTGTATTTTATCTTTTTTTTACGTAAGACTCGTGTCATTTCCCAAAACACATGTCATTTTAAGAGATTTAATTTTATTTAATTTTAATAGAGAATTTAAAACTTTTAAAATTATAGAAACTAAATTGAAACTATGACATATATGAAATAAAACGTTCTTTTAATGCAAAGGCAAAAGACTAAAATAGAACTTAAAAAAGTTCATGGGATAAAGGAAGAATTTAACATTAATCTAAAAGAAAAAAAGTGAACAACTTTTGTTTTCTACAATACCGCCAAATTAAATATGCAATGAAAATAATCACATTACTTCTTGAGCAGCACGGAACGGACGGCAGAACTGTATTTATCTTATTAGTTTTTTTTTTCCCCTTTTTTGGAGAGGAGTATTTATATTATTAGTTATTTATAAACGATCGGTCAAAAAATAGTATAATATTATATTAAAAACAAATTCTATTTAATTCTGATGACTCCGCTATTTTGTTTCTTCTTCTTCCTTTTGCCATAGCTAAATGTTTAAAATTTAAATCTCCAAAATTGAAAACTAAAGGGGTGTGTTTAGTATGGGAATATTGAAAATGAAGGTGTGGGAAGTTTCCAAAAGCTCTTGAATGACAATATCTACCATTTAATAAGTAATTTGATAATTCTATTTCATAGTGTAAACTAAGGGGTGTGTTTTATGAAAAATATTTAGAAAAATCAGAGGGACGAAGCCAAGAACAAATGTGTTCCCAACCTAAATTTTAAAAAGTGTACGGTACAACCTATATATGGAGGTATGAATTCAAATTCACAATGTTTTAGATCGTTTAGGTTGGTAGTTCATAAACTTCCAATAATATTATCGAATAAATGGATTATTTATGAAGGTTTAGAGCATGAAAATAATTGTTGATGTGGCCCCAAAATTTGAAAACAAAAGCAAACGTGATATCCATGGACTGAAGGATGAGGTGTGAGGGAGAGAACATGGGGTACTCCATCCTGAATTGATCCTACAAAATGCTACAGCTTCCACTGGGTCCTCAAAGCTGAAAGCTGTCGACAGGCCATAAATTAATGTCGCCCCTTGCTCTTTCTCCATTGTCCAAATAAAATAAAATTTGGACTAAAATTTTCTACTATGTACTTCTTAGACTTTATGTAGTAATTTTATGTAGCCAATGCTATTCATGTTATTTACCAAGCCATAACAGAGCATGTGCCCTATTATAAATTGTAATAGCATGGTGGACATGTGATAAAAAGAAGTAAAAGGATCGACTGGACAAAGTAGGATATGAGATGTTTAAGTCGAATTCTGATTGCTCTCGAGAATTGTGACAATCGAGGAGAATATGAAAAATAAAAATAAGCACTCTAAAACTCAAGTTAGTCTCAATTTGAATTATTTTGTCTCGAGCGAGCAATCAATTTCGTAGACATGTGTAAGGAAAGAAACTTTATTATTTATAGGTGCTTAGGAGTGGAAGCCATTCTTTGACCACTTTGCACGCTCGGTGGATTTCAGTGTACATTCAGCAGGAGTGGTAAGTGGAAAGTTGGCGGTCAGGTGTAGGATCGATAGTTCTATCGGTTGAGTTCAAGAGTCTCACTTAGGTCCAACTCTAAGAAAGTGTTTTACGTCGAACTTGCAGTATGAGAGGTACCTTTCACCTCAAATTAAATGCAATCCTTATTCTGACACGTGCCATGTCGAACTATACCCCTCCAACTCCGACATGATACATTATTTCAAGAGATGATATGTTATAAATGTATGTAGTACTTTAATTTGCACGTGGTCCTCCATTCCTTTACCATTCAATTATAGTGTTACTAATAACAAGAGAAGCATTAAAGTGAGCATAATTTAGCGATAATTGACATTATCTTCAACTAAGAGATTGTGAGTTCGATTCCTAAGTACTTTAAAGAAACAAAAGCACTTTTAATTTTCATAAGAGTTCAAGATATAGCTGTATGAAAAGACACCTTTTTTCCGCAAGTAATTGGAAACTTGGATGTCGGGATATTTACACCAATAATTAGGAATTTAAAACATGTCAAATTTTAATTCGTCAAATGATACGTAATATTTTCCAATAAAATAGGCTCTGAGTCAATGATAATTATCACTTTTATCATTTGGATTAACATCAAATCACGGAAGAAAAAAAAAGGCACCACAGGGAAAAAAAAAACAACTAATAATACATAGGTAGTAGACTAGCAAAAACAATTAGTACCAAAAAGGACGTTTTTTAATTTGATCATGAAAAATGTCATTTGTATTTTTCTAACTCTTTTACAATTTGATTTTGACACTTCTACCCTTTTAATTTTGTTATTATTTTTTAAAATTAAATATCCGAACTTCTATTATCTTTCTTAGATTCTAGTTTTTTTTTTCCTAACCATTATTATTTGATAAATACGTCAAATTTAAGAACACATCACACCGAATAAGATTAGGGAGGGAGGCAATCAGAGATGGAAGACAATTGGAGCCGGAGTTGGGGAGAAATGGAGACCGTAGAAATCCAGCAAGACAAAAAGAAGGGCAACCAGCTAGTCCTTTGAGAGTTCTTCAAGCTTTAGCAGATGGTACAAAACTACTTTTTAAAGAAAATTTACCTCCATCAAGAGGTGATACTCGTTTATTCAGGCCTTCCGTAGTAGTCATATCAATTTCACTAAGCTATTCAGTAATTTCTTTTGGTTATCGCCTTGTTTTAGCCTATCTCCATATCGTTGTTTTTTTATGGATCGCTATTTCAAGTGTTGCTCTCATCTGTCACGATATGGATCCAATAATAAATATTCTTTTTTAGATCGTCTACGACTGCTGCTC